CATACATACATACATACATACATACATACATAACATACGATACATACATACATACATACATACATACATACATACATACATACATACATACATACATACATACATACATACATATATACATACATACATACATACATACATACATACATACATACATACATACATACATACATACATGCATGCATGCATGCATGTAAGCATACATGTATACATACATACATCTATAATATATATATATATATCACATTGGTACACACGTTGGTGGGATCTTACCGGGCTGAAACTGTTGTCATGTATATTGACCCCAATAATAGTCCAGATCACTCGGCGTAACAACCGCCTGTCTGTATCACTGATCGAGACACCGCCTGACGCAAATGGGACAGTCGGGACACCAGGGCTGACATTTGAGGACACCTCGTTGTCCCTGGAGATATAAAAAGGTCAGATGAGAGTGAGAGAGTTTGTTAACAATAGAGCTAATAACATGTTTGACATACAGCTGGCACGTATGCATGCACATATACACATACATAATACAAATTACTTAACAGTCCATGTATAGCTCATTTTCTGTGCATGCACATGTACACACACACAATACACCAACCAGTTGTACATCCTTTCTATCACGTTACATAAGATTCCATGTATATCTCATGCGACATACAGCACACACTCTGTGCATGCACCTATCCACATACGCAGCTGAGTCCTTCCGTTCGTGATAGCAGCTGCTCATGACCAGCATGAAGTACTTGATGCCGTGGTCTGTCTTTGTTTGGCTGGGGTTCGCCTGTCAGGGCAAATGCGTGTGTACAGTGGTGGGTTAGTACGCGAGTCGTAAGACAGTACTTGCCGGGGTTATTTGGGTTGTAGGTTTGTAGTTAAAGCTATATATAGATTCATAGTTAAAGCTATATATAGACTTATAGTTAAAGCTATATATAGATTCATAGTTCAATCTATATATAGATTTGGAGTCAAAGCTTTATATGGATTTGTAGTTAAAGCCATATATGGATTTGTGGATAAAGCTATATATAGATTTATAGTTAAAGCTATATGTAGATTTGTGTTTAAAGCTATAAATAGATTCATAGTTAAAGCTATATGTAGATTTGTGCTTAAAGCAATATATAGATTTATAGTTCAAGCTATATATAGATATGTAGTTAAACCCTATATATAGGTTCATAGTTAAAGCTATATATAGATTTGAAGTCAAAGCTATACTTAGATTCATAGATAAGCTATATATAGATTTGTAGTTAAAGCTACATATTGATTCATAAAGCTATATATAGATTTGAAGTCAGAACTATATATAGATTCGTAGTCAAAGCTATCTGTAAA